AATTGAAGATAAACAACAAATTGAAGATAAAAAACAAATTGAAGATAAAAAACAAATTGAAGATAAACAACAAATTGAAGATAAAAAACAAATTGAAGATAAACAAGAAATTGAAGATAAACAACAAATAGAAGATAAAAAACAAATTGAAGATAAAAAACAAATTGAAGATAAACAACAAATAGAAGATAAAAACAAAAACTGAAGATAAACAAATTGAAGATAAAAAGAAATTGAAGATAAACAGAAAAAAAAAGAAGAAAAACAAATTGAAGATAAAAAACAAATTGAAGATAAACAACAAATTGAAGATAAACAACAAATAGAAGATAAAAAACAAATTGAAGATAAAAAACAAATTGAAGATAAACAACAAATTGAAGATAAACAACAAATTGAAGATAAACAACAAATTGAAGATAAAAAAGAAATTGAAGATAAAAAACAAATTGAAGATAAACAAGAAATTGAAGATAAACAAGAAATTGAAGATAAACAACAAATAGAAGATAAACAAGAAATAGAAGATAAACAAGAAATCGAAGATAAACAACAAATTGAAGATAAACAACAAATTGAAGATAAACAACAAATTGAAGATAAAAAAGAATCTAAACCAAAGACTAGTATTTTTTCTCGAAGAAAAAATGTAAATGCACGAGTATTTTCAGGAAAACTAGCTCAAGAATTCAAAAATCGAAAAGTTGTTTTTCCACAAAAAAAACCATTAAAACAACCAGAAATTCCAAAAGAAGAAACAAAACAGGAAACAAAAGAAAAAACAAAAGAAGAAGAAGAAAAAACAGTTGAAAACAAAAGAATTGATTTTAAAAAAAATTTAGCAGCTTTTAATCAAAAACCAGAAGAAAAAGTTCCAATAAGAAGATCACCAATTCAAAAAAAACCAGAAATTCCAAAACAAGAAACAAAACAAGAAACAAAAGAAAAAACAAAAGAAGAAGAAGAAAAAACAGTTGAAAACAAAAGAATTGATTTTAAAAAAAATTTAGCAGCTTTTAATCAAAAACCAGAAGAGAAAAAAAATTCCAATAAGAAGATCACCAATTCAAAAAAAACCAGAAATTCTAAAAGAAGAAACAAAACAAGAAACAAAACAAAAAAAAAAGAAGAAAACACAAAAGAAGAAGAAGAAAAAACAGTTGAAAACAAAAGAATTGATTTTAAAAAAAATTTAGCAGCTTTTAATCAAAAACCAGAAGAAAAAAAAGTTCCAATAAGAAGATCACCAATTCAAAAAAAACCAGAAATTCCAAAACAAGAAACAAAACAAGAAACAAAACAAGAAACAAAACAAGAAACAAAAGAAGAAACAAAAGAAGAAGAAGAAAAAACAGTTGAAAACAAAAGAATTGATTTTAAAAAAAATTTAACAGCTTTTAATCAAAAATCAGAAGAAAAAAATTCCAATAAGAAGATCACCAATTCAAAAAAAACCAGAAATTCCAAAACAAGAAACAAAACAAGAAACAAAACAAGAAACAAAACAAGAAACAAAAGAAGAAACAAAAGAAGAAGAAGAAAAAACAGTTGAAAACAAAAGTATTGATTTTAAAAAAAATTTAGCAGCTTTTAATCAAAAACCAGAAGAGAAAAAAAATATTATTAAACCACGATTTCAACAAAGACCATTTCAAATTAAAAAAAAAACTGAAACAAATGAAAAACCAGAAGTAAAACCAGAAGTAAAACCACAAATTGATCAAAAAACAACAAGAAATAATGCTTTCAAAAACAATTTAGCAAATATTTTACAAAAAGGTCCACAAAAACCTCCAACAAGAAATACTAATCCTTTGCAAAGAGCTCCAACTCATAGTCCAAAACAAACATTTAATAGGCCTCGTGCTGCAAGAAGTTCTAAAACTCTTACAAAAACACAACAACTTTTGATTTGGTGTCAAAGAAGAGTTAATGATTATCCAAATGTTAATGTTCAAAATTTCTCAAAAAGGTTATTTTTATTTAAACCAAAACAATTTATTTTTAAAAAATATTTCAATTTAAAAAATATTTCATTTCATGTTTAAAATTTATTTCATTTCATGTTTAAAATTAATTTCATTTCTAAAAAATATTTCATTTCATTTTTAAAAAATATTTCATTTCATGTTTAAAATTAATTTCGATTTAAAAAATATTTCATTTCATGTTTAAAATTAATTTCAATTTAAAAAATATTTCATTTCATGTTTAAAATTAATTTCATTTCTAAAATTTATTTCATTTCAAATTTATTTAGTTGGAAAGATGGATTAGCTTTCTGTGCACTTGTTCATTCTGAAAATCCAAAACTTTTTAATTTTAATGAATTAACTCCAGTAAATTTCGAACCAAAAAATAATCTTTTAATTTAAATTTTTATTTTATTTTTAAATCTTAATTAGGATGATAAAGAAAAGAATTTTACACTTGCATTTAACTTAGCAGAAAAAGAATATGGAATTGAGAAATTTCTTGATGTAGAAGATATGATTGATATAGATCCTGAACCTAAATCTGTGATCGTTTATCTTTTAGAATTTTATCAAAAATGGAGATAAAATTCTTTTTTTTTTTTTACAATTTAATTCAACAATTTAATTTTAAAATTTAATTGATCCAAAAATTCCAAAAAAAAAAACACCAAATAAAAAACTTTTTCTTTTATTTTTACTTTTTATTTTTTTTCATCAAGAATTCAAAAATTTTTTTTGGTTTTTTTTTTTTATTTTTTCTTTTATTTTTCTTTTATTTTGTTATTTAAAATTTATTTGCAAAAAAAAAAAAAAACTAAAACATTTAAATTTATATTTACATTTATATTTACATTTATATTTAAATTTATGAGTCAAAAAAAAAAATCAGTTGATACTTTTGATGCAGATGAAAATGCTGTTAAAATTGTTCTTCTCGGTGATATTGATGTTGGTAAATTTTTTTAAACCCCATTTTCTAAAGATCAATTCAATCAAAATCTCAATTAAAATCAAAATCAATTTCAAATTTAATTTCAATTTCAAAATCAATTTCAAAATCAATTTCAATTTCAAAATCAATTTCAATTTCAAATTCAATTTCAATTTCAAAATCAATTTCAATTTCAAAATCAATTTCAAAATCAATTTCAATTTCAAAATCAATTTCAATTTCAAAATCAATTTCAATTTTAAAATCAAAATAAAAATCAATTTCAATTTCAAATTCAATTTCAAAATCAAATTCAATTTCAATTTCAAATTTAATTTCAATTTCAAAATCAATTTCAAATTCAATTTCAATTTCAAAATCAATTTCAATTTCAAAATCAATTTCAATTTCAAAATCAATTTCAATTTCAAATTTAATTTCAATTTCAAAATCAATTTCAATTTCAAAATCAATTTTAAAATCAATTTCAATTTCAAAATCAATTTCAATTTCAAAATCAAAATCAATTTCAAAATCAATTTCAATTTCAATTTCAATTTCAAATTCAATTCCAATTTCAATTTCAATTTCAATTTCAAAATCAATTTCAAAATCAATTTCAATTTCAAAATCAAAATCAATTTCAATTTCAATTTCAAAATCAATTTCAAATTCAATTTCAAATTCAATTTTAATTTCAATTTTAAAATCAATTTCAATTTCAAAATCAATTTCAATTTCAAAATCAAAATCAATTTCAAAATCAATTTCAATTTCAATTTCAATTTCAATTTCAATTTCAATTTCAATTTCAAAATCAATTTCAATTTCAATTTCAAAATCAAAATCAATTTCAAAATCAAAATCAATTTCAATTTCAATTTCAAAATCAATTCCAAAATCAATTTCAATTTCAAAATCAATTTCAATTTCAATTTCAAAATCAATTTTAAAATCAATTTCAATTTCAAAATCAAAATCAATTTCAAATTTAATTTCAATTTCAATTTCAATTTCAATTTCAATTTCAATTTCAATTTCAAAATCAATTTCAATTTCAATTTCAATTTCAATTTCAAAATCAATTTTAATTTCAAAATCAATTTCAATTTCAAAATCAATTTCAATTTCAAAATCAATTTCAATTTCAAAATCAAAATCAATTTCAAAATCAATTTCAATTTCAATTTCAAAATCAATTTCAATTTCAAAATCAATTTCAATTTCAATTTCAAAATCAATTTCAAAATCAAAATATAAATCAATTTCAAAATCAAAATCAAAATCAATTTCAATTTCAAAATCAAAATCAATTCGAAAATTAAAATGAACAAAGGAAAAACAAGTTTAATAAGAAGATATGTAGATGGGAAGTATCGAACAACACGACCAACAATTGGGGCAGCATTTTTCAGCAAAGAAGTAGAAGTAGGAGAGAATCAGATGACGATCCGAATTTGGGACACATCCGGACAAGAACAGTTTCGGTCATTAGCACCACTTTATTATAGATTATCCAAAGCAGCAATATTAGTTTATGACATTTCAAGACAAAGTTCATTTGATAATTTAAATTATTGGGCAAATGAATTACGAGAAAATCTCGGCGAAAATATTATCATTTTTATCGCCGCTAATAAATTCGACTTGGATTCAGAAGCTCCGAAATATTATCCCTTTTGATTCCGTCTTTGAATATGCTGCAAAGATTAATGCTAAAGTTTTTAAAACTTCTGCTAAAACTGGTTTAGGTATTGATGACCTTTTTTCTCAACTTTGTTCTGATATCGCTCAACGTTATGATTTGTTTAATAATGTTAAGGTTGTTTCAAAAAGAAGAAAAACTCATAAAGTTAATAATCAAAATTTAGCAAAGAAAAAAAAGAAAGATAAATGTTGTTGAAAAAATCAAAATTTAAATTTAATTTTAAACTTAATTTTAAACTTGATTTTTTGATTTTAATTTAAAAAATTTAATAAAAAAAAAAATAAAAATTTAAATAAAATATTTAGATAAATAACCATATTTTTAAAAAAAAAAATGAAAAAAAAATTTTAATTTAAATTTTAATTTTAATTTTAATTTAAATTTTGGGTTATTGGTCTAATGGTATGATTCGTGTCTCGGGTGCACGAGGAAGGGGTTCAATTCCCCTATAACCCCCTTTTTTTTTTTTTATTTTAATTTTAATAAAATAAAATAACAAAATTCTTCTTTTTTTTTTAATAATCTTCTTTATAATTTAATTAATAATTTTGTTTATAATCTTCTTTATAAAATTGTTTATAAAATTGTTTATAATCTTGTTTATAAAATTGTTTATAAAATTGTTTATAAAATTGTTTATAAAATTGTTTAGAAAATTGTTTATAAAATTGTTTATAATCTTGTTTATAATTTAATTAATAATTTTGTTTATAATCTTGTTTATAATCTTGTTTATAATCTTGTTTATAAAGTTGCTTATAATTTTTTTCATATAATTGTTTATAATCTTGTTTATAATTTTGTTTATAAAGTTGTTTATAAAATTGTTTATAAAATTGTTTATAATTTTGTTTATAATCTTATTTATAATCTTATTTATAATTTTGTTTATAAAATTGTTTATAAAATTGTTTATAAAATTGTTTATAATTTTGTTCATAAAATTGTTTATAAAATTGTTTATAAAATTGTTTAGAAAATTGTTCATAATCTTATTTATAATCTTGTTTATAATCTTGTTTATAATTTTGTTTATAATCTTATTTATAATCTTGTTTATAATCTTATTTATAATCTTGTTTATAATCTTGTTTATAATCTTATTTATAATCTTGTTTATAATCTTGTTTATAAAATTGTTTATAAAATTGTTTATAAAATTGTTTAGAAAATTGTTCATAAAATTGTTTATAATCTTGTTTATAATCTTGTTTATAATCTTGTTTATAATTTTGTTTAGAAAATTGTTTATAATTTTGTTTATAATCTTGTTTATAATCTTGTTTATAATCTTGTTTATAATCTTGTTTATAATCTTGTTTATAATCTTGTTTATAATTTTGTTTATAATTTTGTTTATAAAATTGTTCATATAATTGTTTATAATCTTGTTTATAATTTTATTTATAATTTAATTAATAATTTAATTAATAATTTTGTTTATAATCTTATTTATAATCTTGTTTATAAAATTGTTTAAAATTGTTTAAAATTGTTCATAAAATTGTTTAGGAAATTGTTTAGAAAATTGTTTATAATCTTGTTCATAAAGTTGTTTGTAATCTTGTTTATAAAGTTGTTTAGAAAATTGTTTATAATCTTGTTTAGAAAGTTGCTTATAATTTTGTTTAGAAAATTGTTCATAAAATTGTTCATAAAATTGTTTATAATCTTGTTTAGAAAATTGTTATTGATAATTTTGATCATTTGACTTATTTTGATTCATAAAAAAATTAGGTGTTGGTGTTAACAAAGAATGCAACTGCATATGCTGAAGTTGCTGCTGAAAATGATGTAATTGAGTAGAATTAATTTCATTCACATTTTCCAAATTATCAGAATCATAAGATAATTCAATAGATGGAAGATTATTTTCAACATCTTCAGGAACAATATGGAACATAGTCGGAAAATCATAAATTGAAGGACACAATTGCTGAGGTAAATACTGTCCATAAAAATCATAAAAATATTGCCTTTTGCGAAATTCTGTTTCATACATCAATAAAAATTCTTCCTTGCATTTGTTCACAATCTCAAGCTGTCTTTTGAATTCTTGATTTCGACGAACAATCTCGCGCAAAAGTTGCTCATAAGCAGATAAAAACAAACGATACCAAGTCACGAGATTGATCAATTCTTTGATAATATCTTGAGCCTCTTGATAATACTTTGCAAATTCTTCTTCCACTTGCGCAAACACGCGCAGTTTGACTTGCGAATAAGCAGAAAACTTGTCAATCAACGACAATATATTCATGGACTGAATATATGCGGAGTTCATATCGACTTCATAATTAATTATCGTTTTTTTGAAATTTTCAATTTTGGATGCTTTTGTTTGAATTAATTCAGTTTGCTTGTCAATAACCCCAATTTGTTTCTGCAATTTGGGAACCTCTTCCTGCAATATATTGAGCTCCTCCTTTGAGGAAGATATGCTGACTGTGTTTTTAATATGCAAAATTAAGTCGCGATGACTCGAAACTATTGTAAATGCTTGCTTGATTTCCTCCATATCCTTTTGAAATTGTTTCAGATTTTCTTGATTTCCCAACTTTTGAAATTTGATTTTCAACTCCAGAAAATTCAGTGGATTATCTTGTCGGTGTTTCTCAATGATGTTATATTGCTGCTTGAGTTCGTTATAAATTATATCACTTTTCATTTGGATTTGTCTGAGTAGTTCAATTTTTGATTTTCCCTGTTTTTTCAACTTGAGCAACTGATTCATCGTTAACATATTCAAACAAAATATGAAGATCTTGTTCATCAATATTTTTGCTTCTGTTGATGTTTTCCTTTTCCAGTTCTTTCTGGTTTTTCTTCTTCAAGTCATGATTGATTTCTTGATTTTGATTTTCAAATTGCATTTTCAAATCTCTTAAATTATCCCTTTTTTTCAACTCAAATTGATCCACAAAATTATTGTTTTGCATGTTTTCTTTTTCTGCAAAAAAATTCTTATCAAAAACTCCATTAATAATTTTTGCATTTTGATTTTGATTTTGATTTTGATTTTGATTTTGATTTTGATTTAAATTCTGATTTTGATTTTGATTTTGATTTTGATTTAAATTCTGATTTTGATTTTGATTTAAATTCTGATTTTGATTTTTATTTTCATTTAAATTTTGAATTTCATTTAAATTTTGATTTTGGACTTGAATACTCATATTTTTGTCCAAATTTATATTGGATTTTTGCTTATTTGTTTGAAGCATTCTTTTATCAATAACTTTCAAACGCAATTGGTTAAAAATATCCTCAAGTGCAAAAGAAGCATCATTAATATTTTTCTCATTTTTTTCCACTAAAACTTTCATTAAATTACTTCTTTCTTCAATTCCTTTAATTATTTCCGTTGAAATATTTATTTGATGTTCTAATTCAGTTTCAAGAAGCGTTAATCTATTCATTGCTTTAAAAATTCGATCAAAAATTGTTTCAATACTTATTATATTTGAATTTGTTTCTTCTGTGATTTTAATTGCAACTTCATATGCCTTTTCAATTTTAGGTGTTAATTCTTTTAATTGCTTTTAATAAATCTGTCATTCAAAAAAAAAAATAAAAAAGAAAAGAAAAGAAAAATTATAAAATACAAAAAAAAATTTGATAAGAAATTTGTGAAAAAAAAAATGATTTTCCAAAATTTCTTGTTAATTCAAAAAAAAAAAAAAAAAAAGAAGAAAAATAAATTTTTCAAAATTATTTTCTAAAATTATTTTACGAAATATTTTGTTCCACTTTTTTTTTTCTCGTTTTTTTAAAAAAAAAGAAAAATCAAAACTCAAAAAAATTGACTATTTTTCTTTTTAGAAAATAATTTTCTTTTCTCTTTTTTTTTTATTTCATTTTTTTTTTAAAAAAAAGAAAAAAAAAAAAGAATAGAAAAGAGAAAAAATTTTTGGTTTTGATTTTTCTTTTGAGAAAGAAAAAAAAGGTTTGATTTGAATTTGAATTTGAATTTTGAATTTTGAATTTTGATTTTTGAATTTTTGAATTTAATTAAAAAGAGAAATATTGATGAAATTCACTTAAATTTAGGAGGTGGTTTTAAAGTAATTTTTTTAGAAGTTGATTTTGCTTTCTTTGTCGAAGTAGTTGTTGGCATTCCCTTTTAATATAAATTGCAAAAAGTTTTAAAATTAAAATTAAAATTAAAATTAAAAAAATATTTTTTGATTACAGATAAATTTATTCTAATTGTTTCTCCTTGTTTTAAACTTAAATCCTCAGTTGGTCCATCAAATTTTGGAGGATTTTTTTTACGTTCAATTTCTCTATTCAAATTTTATTTTTAATATTTAATTTTGATTTAATTTAATTTAGATTTGATTTAGATTTAGATTTAGATTTAGATTTAATTTAATTTAATTTAGATTTAATTTTGATTTAATTTAGATTTAGATTTGATTTTGATTTAATTTTGATTTAAATTTTGATTTAATTTAATTTTGATTTAGATTTAATTTAGATTTAATTTAGATTAATTTAATTTAGATTAATTTAATTTAAATTTGATTTAATTTTGATTTAATTTTGATTTAGATTTTGATTTTGATTTTGATTTAAATTTGATTTTGATTTTGATTTTGATTTAAATTTGATTTTGATTTTGATTTTGATTTAATTTGATTTAATTTGATTTAATTTAGATTTAATTTAGATTTAATTTAGATTTAATTTTGATTTAATTTAATTTTGATTTTGATTTTGATTTTAATTTGATTTAATTTAGATTTTGATTTAATTTTGATTTAATTTTGATTTGATTTCATTTAATTTAGATTTAATTTAGATTTTAATTTGATTTAATTTAAATTTAATTTTGATTTAATTTTGATTTAATTTTGATTTAATTTTAATTTGATTTAATTTTGATTTAATTTTGATTTAATTTTAATTTGATTTAATTTAGATTTAATTTAGATTTAATTTTGATTTAATTTTGATTTAATTTAGATTTAATTTAGATTTAATTTTGATTTAATTTTGATTTAGATTTAATTTAATTTAGATTTAATTTTAGATTTAGATTTAAATTTTGATTTGATTTTAATTTGATTTAATTTAAATTTAATTTTGATTTAATTTTGATTTAATTTAAATTTAATTTTGATTTAATTTAATTTAATTTTAATTTAATTTAATTTAATTTTAATTTTAATTTAATTTAATTTGATTTTAATTTAATTTAATTTAATTTAATTTAATTTAATTTGATTTGAATTTGATTTAGATTTAATTTAGATTTAATTTAGATTTAATTTAATTTAGATTAATTTAATTTAAATTTGATTTAATTTTGATTTAATTTTGATTTGATTTAAATTTGATTTAATTTAGATTTGATTTAATTTAGATTTTAATTTAGATTGATTTAATTTAGATTTAATTTTGATTTAATTTAATTTAATTTGATTTAAATTGATTTAAATTTTAATATTTAA